GATGACCCTCAGGAGCTGTGGGCAGGCTGACCCCTGTGGATTAACACCCAGAAGTGCCTCCTCAGAGCAGCAGTGCACGGTGTTACTTGCCCTTCCTGAGTCTGAGTTTCCAGGATGTGCTCTTATGGGCCAGAGCTGAGTCCTTAGAGCCTGTGTGTAGGGTGAGCCCCTCCTGAATGGAGGCAGGGTGGTTCCCAAAAGAAAAGTGGGACTCTCTTAATCCGGAAGACTTGGGAATGAAGGTTGGCAGCACAAAAGAAGAAAAAAATGTACAGGAGCCCACTAGTTCCTCTTGCCATATACTCGTGGAGATGAGTGAGCAGTGCGTGTGAAAATACCTTGAGAACTGCTCAGCACCAGTCGGGGAGGTAGCCCCAGCTCCGCATGTATCGAATGGGACTACTCATCACGCAGCTCATGTGTACTAGGTTGCACTGAAGCTGGTTTCCTCTACTTTTATCTTAACTAGTTGTCTCTTCGTCAGAAAAGACTAGGGTAGATTGAGATGATTAACTCAAGGAAGCAGTGAAGGAACAGACTTGGGGCCTGATTCAGGTGAGAGAGAATGAGACAGCCTTTCTGTCCCTGGGATCATGGGGATAGAGTGGGACTGCGCTAGGCCGTGACCAAGGAGAGCAGCTGAAGCCCATCGGTTCGTTTGGTTTTCATTGATTGATTGGACAACTGACCCTGCTGTGGCTGGTCTGGAGGGGTGGTGGGGAGGAAGCAGGGTGGGGGCTGGTGGCGGAGGCTGTCCCGTGCCTCTCCTGCCCCCTTTTAGGGCAGCTGCCTTTGGATATGTTTTCTTCCCGTCCTGTGGCAGTGGGTGCTGGCTCCCCCCAGAGTGTAAACCCGGCTTTTTGGCAGGTTTGACAGCAACGCTTCTGCCAGCTCCTCCAGTAATGAGGGTGACAGTGACCGGGAGGAGAAGAAACGGAAGCAGCTTAAAAAGGCCAAGATGGCCAAGGATCGCAAGAGCCGCAAGAAGCCTACAGAGGTGCATGCTGTCCCCAAGATGGAAGGGTGGTGGGGAACCCAGTCCCTGTCTTCCCTGTCCGCCACCAGTCGGATCTGCTGACGGGCCCTCCTGGGGCTGCTTTGTGTAGCCAGTGATTATGGCCTTGAGGAGAATCTTGTTGGAAATCTTTTTCTCTTGGTCCTGGGAGATCTGAATTAGGAGACAGGCTTCTGTCCCAGGAGTCCAAGGAAGGGGGCCTTGAGCACTAGGCACTGGGGTATAAAGTGGGGGAGATGTGGACTTGCCCTTGGGGCGGTCTCAGAGAGGCTTGCTATAGTTGAGTCCCTTCTCCAATCCCCCCTGCCTCCCCCAAGCAGTGATCTCAGTAATTTCTTTGGGAGAATGTGGGGGATGAGTGGAAAATAGGTGACTGAAGGCATTTGCATTCTTGTGTAGGTGAAAAAGGGCAAAGATCCCAATGCCCCCAAGAGGCCCATGTCTGCTTACATGCTGTGGCTCAATGCCAGCCGAGAGAAGATCAAATCAGACCATCCCGGCATCAGTATCACGGATCTTTCCAAGAAGGCAGGCGAGATCTGGAAGGGAATGTCCAAAGAAAAGAAAGAGGTGAGCAACCGCAAAAATGAGGGGTGGCTAGTCCTATAGATGCTGGAGGGGCCTGGGGGGCCAGTGGTGGAACTTTTCTATGCAGATTTTGTCTGCCCCAGGGAAGAAGAGGTTTTCTTTTTCTCATATATTCTCAATCTCTCTCTCTCTCTCTTTGTGTGTGTGTGTGTGTGTGTGAAACAGGAGTGGGATCGCAAGGCAGAGGATGCCAGGAGGGATTATGAAAAAGCCATGAAAGAATATGAAGGGGGCCGGGGTGAGTCTTCTAAGAGGTAAGTGTTGGGAACAAAATGACACAGTAACTACATTTTTTGGGCAGCTCATTTTTTAGGTCCAAGTTGAGAATTGGGGTATTAAGATAACAGGCTTCTCACGGCAGTAGGGTGATGCTTCTCAAATCTGGATAGGCAGTTGAGCAAGTATAGCTAAGCCGCTAGGGAATTCCTCAAGTCACCGATACATAGGACCCATTTCCCTAAGGGTTGATTTTATTTGAAGGTATGGGGGGATTTAAAAAAATGATTATTGTTCAGCATAATTCACATGAGTTTTTAACAATAAAGCCAGGTGTGTGAAAAAAGTTCTGCATGAAGCTACTTGGGGCTGTGGCCCGATTCCTTTGGCTGTTGACCCGCGTACTCTCCCTCAGGCGCTTAGGCCCCGCGCGGCTGCGGTGGTTGATGTGTAGGTGAAAGGAGAGGTGTGACAGGTTGGGAAAGGCCCTGGTCAGACTAGGAGAGGTCTGGCCTTGATGATGGGAGCACCTGAACGCACAGCTCTTGCTAATACAGGGACAAGTCAAAGAAGAAGAAGAAAGTGAAGGTGAAGATGGAGAAGAAGTCAACGCCCTCCAGGGGCTCATCATCCAAGTCTTCAGCGAGGCAGCTAAGCGAGAGCTTCAAGAGCAAAGAGTTTGTGTCCAGTGATGAGAGCTCTTCGGGAGAGAACAAGAGTAAAAAGAAGAGAAGGCGGAGTGAGGTGTGCCAGGAGTTTTTGCTATGGTTGGGGGCAGTGGGTGTTTCCGGGCTAGGGTTGTGGTTGGTCTATGAGGGTGATGAGATGGAGTGGGGAGGTGAGTCACGTTCTGAGTGCTGGAGTTTGGGGAGGGGGGTGTGAACTGCGGATCCTTCACCACTAAAATGTGGTAGGGACGATGACCACACCTTTCTCCATAAGAGACCTTTGGTTTTCAGGACTCTGAAGAAGAGGAACTAGCCAGTACGCCCCCCAGCTCAGAAGACTCAGCGTCGGGATCTGATGAGTAGAGGAGGAAAATTCTCTCCTTCAGCTTGCCCCGTTACACCCCCCAGGCTCCCCACTCATGTTTTGGTACCTGTTTCTCCTTATGAAATGTAGTCCTTGGGTTCTGTGCCATCTGAACAAGCTCTCCTGGTAGTATGCACTTCACGGGGCAGCAAAGGTGTTGTCTTGCTGGGCTGCCTCACCAGGACGGCTCTTTATAATTTGGAGGAGAGACTGGGTGGGAGGCAGGGCAGTGCAGGATCCAAATCCTGTCCTATTTTCCTGACCTTAGGGATACAGCTGCTGCTTGTCATGTTCATGTAGCTGCAGCAGGCAGGGGTCATGTGAGGTCAGGCCTGTAGCTCCTATCTGGGACCTATTTCTACATTTATTTTGTATTTCTGGTCTGTGAAAAAAATCAACATTTAATAAAAGGGAAGTGACTTTGGAAACCATGTCTGCACTTTTCTTGGTGCTGTTTACCACACCACTCTGACAGGTCAGGGCTGGGAAGCAGGTCTCCAGGTACATCCTGTGCTGTTCCCGGCTGGACCAGCATTGGTTTTCACCCTCTTCTGCCGGAATGGGCCACCTGAGAGTGTAGAAATGAGAGCTGATCTGATTAGGAAGTCTCTCTCGCTCACAGATCACTCCATTAGCCAACCTAAGGCAGGCAGCTCTTGGCAGGCTCCATCCTTAATCAATATGAGGCAAGGGTCTTCCAAGGCTTTAGATAATGGAATCAGAATTGACCAGCTCCCCCGCAGCTGGGTGGGGGTGTAGAAACCTGAGCCTGGAGAATTTGGGGAGATGAGTTACGGGAGAGGAGAAGGGAATACCACACTTTGTGTTTGGGAAGGACTCACATCTGGGAAGGGGCACAGCGGGCGCTAAGCAGAGCTCCGACGAGGGAAGAGCTTCCAGTCTAACCCTGGCGACAGACCAGAATTTATACACGTGGGGTGGCCACGTGGCGAAGGTTATCAGGCGTCTGCACCGAGAGCCGTTCCAGTCCGCCAGCGGTTACCTCCTTCCTAGCGTGACTCGATGGTGCGGCGTCCGCGGGCCGCGGGCGGAGGCTCGGCCGTCCCGAGGCAGTGTCCTCTCTAGGCTGTCATCTCGGTGGCCGCGGTGCCCGCGCGCTCTTCGGGGTTGGCTGAATTGCGTCAGTTTCGCCCAGTTCCGAGCCTGGGGCGGGCTCCTCATTTGCAAGATCATGAATAATTAAGTAGCTGGGCCGCGCCGATTTGCATACGGCCAGAGGAGCCCCGCAGGGGCTCGGGATTTCACCGGCTTCTGCATATTCATGAGGCGCGCGGGGCGGGGCGGGGCGGGGCGCGCGGGGCGGGGCCCGCCGGGCTCGCTCTGGCTCGGTCCCGCGCCGGCGGCGGCAGCGGGCGGCGGTGGCGGCGGCTGGCGTGGGGCGCCGAGCCCGAGCCGAGCGGAGCCGGAGCCGGGCGCGCGTGAGTGGCGGGGGCGGGCGGCGCGCGGGCGCAGGAGGGGGCGGGGCGGGGCCGGCGGGGCGGGGGAGAGGCATGGGAGCGGCGGGCGCCTCCAGCGCGGACCCGGGGGTGAGGCGGGGTGTCAGCAGGAAAGTTTGCCGGGCCCGGGGCCGGGGCCGGGGGCGCGGGGGCGCCGGCGCGTGGCGCGGGGGCGGGGGGCGCACGGTCTGGGGCTCCGCTGGCCCGGCCAGAAGAAAGGGGGGAGGGGGCGAGGGCTCGAGGCGGGGCCGGGGGCGGGCGGAGCTGCCGGGGGACCCCCGCTTCCCCCTTCCCCCGGGCCGCGCTCGCCCCCTCCCCGGCCCCCTCGGCACGCCCCCAGCCCCCCAGCCCGCCCCCAGCCCGGCGGCGGCCCCTGCCCGCGCCTGCTCGCGGCTGCTGCCCATCCCGCGCGCCGGTGCCCGGCTCCCGCCGCCCCCGCCCGCGCCCGCGCCCGCGCCCGCGCCCGCCGCGCGCCGCCGCCGGCCCCTCTGTCCGGAGCGCCCCACTGGGCCCCTCCAGACGGCCCCTCGCCCCGGGCTGTTCCGTCCTCCCGCTGGCCCGCCCTCCTGCAGCAGCGAGCGTGCGGCCCCGCCGACCTCCCTGGCCCCGACCCCGCCGCAGATCCCAGGTCCGGAGGGGCCGCCATGCCGGCAGCGACGCCCCCTCGGCCCCCACCGGGGCTCCCGGGGCTGCCGGCTGCGCCCAGCTCTCCCAGCTGCCTTGGCTCCCGGGGTCGGCTGGTCTCCCCGACTCTCGTGGGTGGGCGTGCTGAGAGTCGCTGTTCTTCCGTGGCTTTTGGCTAAGGCCTTGGTCACCTGGCCGTCCTGGCGAGGGCCTCTGTGCTGCTGGGGCCCCCTCCTCAATTGGGGAGGAGGAGCCCCCCTCTTTCATTGCTGCCTACTGCCGAGGTACCTAGCAGGCCCTCCGGGATACGGTTTGGCAGTTCTGGGCCAGTTCGCCCCTGTTTCTGACCACCCACACCATGTCCCTGGTACTAATACTCAAGGACAAGGAAACGATCTTGTTTTTCTCTAATGGTATTTTTTCCTCGTGCCCCTCCCCCACGCACACTTGGATGGCTCTGCACAGTTATTCACCCACCCACGGTGAGCAGCCCTCCCCTTGCTTGGGTACTGGGCCGTACTTGGGTGGAGGGGTTCGCAGCCCTGGGTTTCTGTCGACTCTTTCCACCTTTGAAGCAAGCTGGGGCAGGGTCAAAGGTGAGGAGTGGGTGTTTTGCAAAAGTCCATAGCAGAGGTCCCTTAGGATTGGTGCTGTCTTCCTGACTGGAGTGGGTAACTGGAGGAGGAGGCAGGCAGTGCTTCTTGCAGGTAGGAGAGACTGAGGTTGTTCTCAGGGCTCTGTGTATACCTAACAGGTTATAGGAAACATTCCCTTTCTTTGGAACCAGAGGGGCAGCGTTCTGCCCCCCAGCCCCTCCCTGGAGAGCTGGGGGTGGGGTTGGTGAGTGGGATGGTGCTTCTGGAACCAGGATGGGAACTGAAGAGGTGGAGGAGCACGTGGAGACAGGTGACAGGACTGGGGCCTGCGGGAGTGAAGGACCTGTCTGGAATGCTGGGGTCTGGGGAGAGGAGGAGGTGGTTGCCAAAGTCGATAGCTCGTGGGTGATACTGGTTGGAGTCATACTAATAATGGCCAGCATTTATTGGGCACCAGGCTAAGCAGTTTGCATGCACTATCTCGTGTGACCCTCCCAACGGGCTCAGTCATTTCCTTTTTCAGAGAGGGAAACTGAGGCTTAGAGAAGTCGGCAAGGTCACACAGTTAGAAAGTGGTAGAGCCACCCAGTACTTGAACTCTGGTGTAGCAGATCTGAAGCTCCTGGCCCAGGCTTGGGGGGGTTGTCTCTTTGGCTTCTTCCATAGCACCTTGCCACCGGGTTTTAAATTTCTTCTTCTGTCCCCCTCAAATCTCCTTCAGGCCAAGCCTAGGCTGGTGGGTGATGCCCACAGAGCCCCTTTTCAGAGGCTGTAACTATCTTACCCTGACTGTCCTAGATGGGGGAACCCCAGGGAGTTTTCCCCCAAGCTACCCCACCCCCCGGATGTTCTCAAGCCCTGTCCCATTCTCCCAGCCCAGGCCAGCCCGGGCTCCTCCTTCCTCTTGGCGAGGCTCTGGAAATCCAGTGGGAGGCCATTGCTATGGCAACGGGACTAGGCCCTGGCTTTACCTCATCAAATTCCAAGCTGAAGCCAAAGCGATTGAGAAATTAGAGAAAAAAATGTATTCCAGATGTTTACTTTTTATTCTTTATTTTTCCGTGTTTGGATGAGACAGCTCTGAGGGAGGCGGGAGTGGGGCCGGGACGTGGAGGAGGGGGGGGGTGAGGGGGGAGAGGGAACCACTCCCAGCTGCAGGGGGAGGGTAGGAAGGAGGGTGAGCGGGAAGGGGGAGGCCGCCGTGGGGCGGAGCCGCAGGTTGGGGAGGAGCGGGTTTTTCCCGTCTCCCATGAGGTGATTCACGGAGCGTCTTCAGACCAGTGTGGCCCTCTCGCTCTGCGGGGGAGTAGATAGGAGCACATACCTCCAGCTGGGCCGCTGGACCCAAGGGCTGCCTTGGGAACGGTAAGTGGGGTGTCCGGGGAGCTTGCCAGAGGCGGGAGCTGTGGGGGGCTCCCTATAGCTCCAGGACTTTGGGGTTAGGAGGCAAGAGTTCGAGAGTGAGCTGGGAAGAGTTGCAATTAGGGCTGCTGGGCCCTCCCGGCTCCCCCTACCTCCCTTCTGAAGTTCCCTCTTCCTGTCCCACACTCTGCCTCCTCTTGAAGCTGGAGACTGCCCCACTGAGCCTCCTGCCAAGGCCCTGCCCTCGTTGCCTTCTCTCCTCCTGTCTGTGCTCCTGGGTCACCGGCCACCCCGGCTCACACCCCTCCGCTCCCTGATTGTCTTGCAGGTTCTGCCGCATGTGATGAAAGTGTCTGCTCTCAGGGAAAGCACAGCCATGGCTTCCCCAGCGCCCCGGGAGATGGAGGAGGAGCTGGTGTCTGCTGGCTCTGAGCCAGGTACCTATGGGTGCAGGGTGGAGCTGGGTGGCAGAGAGGAAGGAGGAGAGGCAGGGCTGCATCCCCACTCTGTCTTGGAAGGATGATCAGCTGAGGTGGGCGTGAGGTGGGGAGCAGTGCCAGATTGTGGGGAATGAGTTTGGAAGATTCTCAGCTCTGTTGAGACCCTTCAGAATTGCTTGAGATCACAGACCCTCCCCCCGCATCAGAGCAGACTGACCTTGGGGACCAAGGCTGATGGGGACCAAGCCCATGTTTTATAGAAGAGAAAACTGAGGCCCAGAGGAGGGAGAAGTGGTGTGCGCCTCGGGTTGGAATCCAGGTCTCCTGGCTCCCTGTCTAGACTCTTACCCCGAGCCAGATGAGTGGGTGACACGGGATCCCATTAGAAGGGCTGTGGCCATGAGTAATTCCAAGGCCTCTTATTTGGCATTGGAATGCCTTATATAGAAGGTAGGTTTCAGATCTAGTGTTTTTTCCTGTGGCAGATTTACTTCTGTTTGGCTTATGTCAATAGTAAGTTTGCATTCCTGATCACACCGGATGACAGTGGGGAGGTGGCCGGGTGTGCACTGGGGGAGGGGGCAGCCAGGAGGTGAAGTGGGGAAATTCATTTGGGATGTAAGATTTACTATGGGTGACAGTAGACTAAGTGGTCACGTAAGAGGAAGAGTGCACAGGGGAGGTGGTGGACTGACTGCTTGATGTGGGCAGGCAGTCTTTCCTTTATTGGCTTGTTTGTTCATTCATTCATTCCATAAGAAAATATGCTAGATGCATATTCGGGTACAAGGAAAACTAAGGTGCTAGCTTAAATATCTTTAGCTTATAAGGGGAGTTGACTAAACATTTTGAGAATTTGGAGAAGGGAGAAGATGCTTTTGAGATGTGTATGAAAAGTCAAGGAAGGCTTCCTGGAAGTGGTGACATCTGATCTCTTGTGTGACATCTGATCTCACATGTGAAAGTTGTGAATGTTTTGAGTTTGTAGGGTGGGGGGGTGAGCTGGAGTGGGAAATACAAGAAGCTCTACTTCCTGGTTCTTCTGACAGTCCCCCAAACAACCCTTTACTTTTGGTAGGTGACCCTCGGGCCAAACCCCCTGTCAAGCCCAAACCCCGGGCTCTGCCGGCCAAGCCAGCCCTGCCAGCCAAACCCAGCCTGCTGGTACCTGTTGGGCCTCGACCCCCGCGGGGTCCCCTGGCTGAGCTGCCTTCTGCCCGGAAGATGAACATGCTGGCGGGACCCCAGCCCTATGGTGGCAGCAAGCGCCCCCTTCCTTTTGCACCGAGGCCTGTGACTGAGGCCTCTACTGCAGGGGAAGCCACCCCAGAGACTGGGAAAGAGGAGTCTGGGAAAGAAGAGCTTCCCCCCTTGACACCCCCAGCTCGATGTGCCCCCTTCGGGGGTGTGCGGAAGGCCCCTGCTCCCTTCCGTCCAACCTCGGAGCGCTTTGCAGCCACCACGGTGGAGGAGATCCTGGCCAAGATGGAGCAGCCTCGAAAGGAGGTCCCGGCCAGCCCTGACCGCCTTTGGGGCTCCCGCCTCACCTTTAACCATGATGGCAGCTCCAGATACGGCTCCAGGACCTATGGTGTGACCACGAGTCCTCGGGATGAGGATGGTGGGACCCTCTCCAGGGGGTGGTCCCAGGAGGGGCCAGCGAAGGCCCCCATGGAGTGCCTAGAAGAGCACATCAAGACCCCCGAGGAGAGGTAAGGGGTGGGAGGCCGTGTGTTGTGTAGCAGCCTGTGGATGAGGATGCTGGGCAGCGCCCTCCTCTGTTGGGCTGGCCATGTGCGGGGAGCCCTGGCGGCCCCGTCTCTGTCCCAGACGTTCCGCAGCAGACGGTGTCACCGGTACTGTATTCTTTTTACAATCTCCATTCTCTTTACAGAGTTAACATTTGTTTATAGTAGAGTTCAAGTATGGGAGTTTATTTTTAGTTTCTGTACACTGAGCGCTGAACTTGGCCTCGTGTCGTCTGCAGCCATGCAGTTTAGTGAAGGGAACCTGAGCTCCCTCTTAGAGGTGAAGAAACCGAGGTGCCGGGAGTCACTTCCCGTGATCCCTCAGCAGCGCGGAGTCAGAGCTGGGGTTTGGATTCCCTTCTGTTGGATTCCTGGGCCTGCTGGCTCCTGGGTGGGTGGAGCTGTGTGCCAGGTGCTGGTTTGTGAGGGAGAGAGTGAGCAGGGCACGTCTGCCTGTGAGGTGTCCGATGGGAGAGATAAGATGTGAGCGCTCCTTGTGGCTGGGCCAGCTCACGTCGGGTGCAGATTACAGCAGGCGGATCCTGGCATGGGATCCACTTCTCTGGAGGAGCCCTTGGGTGATGGGCACAGGGTGTTTGGAAAGAGACTGAGGCCGCTCATGTGCCCGCGACCCTTCTCAGGTTGGTGAGTGCCAGCTCAAGGCTCCCAGGTGGGGCCTTGGGTTCCCTCCTGTGCCAGGAAAGGCTGCTTTGGTCTTGACTGTACTAATGCCTCTGCCCTACCTCGCCCTGCCCTCCCGCCATGCCCTTCTCTCAGCTGAAAATGCCTGGAGGCAAGGCCCCAAGTTAACCCTCCTGTGTCCCACACGGGGGTCTCAAGAGCGCACACCCCGCTCAGGCTGGATCCCACCCTCCATCCCCCTCTTCTCCCCTCCTGCACCCAGCAGAGCTTAAAAGGAACAGCTTCAACCTTGGAAAACCACGCTTCCCCATCCCCTCCCCCGGCCATGCTTCAAGAAGTATTGGCAGGGCAGGCAGACCAGGCCACCCAGCTGCTCTCCCTGGTGGGAGGAGTGCTTCAACCCCTTAGGGAGTAGGGGAAGGAGGAGTTATCTTTTGGGAACCCTAGATGAGAGTGTGGGGCTGCAGAATGCTTTTCCTGAAGGGCCTGGAGGACTTTAACCCCTGGTGTGCAGGAGGGAGCAGGCGACCGGTCCAGGGCCTGTTCCAGGCGGCGGGGCTCAGCCGTGAGTGCTGGGAAAGTCACCTACCAGACTTACGCTTGGCTCTGTCCCTTCGCCACCTGTGACCGGCTTCTTCATTCTGTGCCCCCATCTCCTCCTTTCTCCCTCCAGGAGCCCCCCTGCGGACCGGGCCTACAATGGCGACCTGGCTCGGCTGGCCAGCTTGGAGCCAGCTGCCGAGGTGAGTTGTCCTCCTGTTCACACATTAGAACCATGCGTGTCATGAGTGTCCTCCCAGGGGATCTTTCCCACCGTCTTTCTAGTTTTTATGGGAGAACGAAGGGCCACTCGCCCAAGGGCTGGCCCTGGACACAGATTTATCAGCTCTCGGGCCAGGGAGTCTGTCGCAAGGCGGCAAAGTGCGGGTCAGGCCACCAGGCTCCTCCTGACCAAGGGCGATAACATCCTTCACACCCGCCCCTCAGGTGCTCTGTGTGCGGGCTTGTCCGGAAACCTCCCCCAACTTACCCCGTGACGGCTCAGCTCGCGGGGCCTGTTAGTCCCACACGGGAGAGGAGCACTCGGCGCTTCCGACGCTAAGTCGCTCACCTCTGAGGCAGGATTCCAGTGTCTGACCAGGGCTCTCCCCTCTGGGCACTTCTCGGGGTTCAGGAGAGAGGAGGGTCCTTCCCTGGGGCGGCTGCTCTTCCATCTCCTCCTCTGCTCCACGGCCCACCTGAGTGGGCCCAAGTAAATGATGTCGAGGATGGTCTCCCTGCCCACGGAGCCCTTGCTAGCCAGTGCCGCCCCCTCTGCCCTGTGACGAGAGCTGACCAGTCGACATCCAGTAAATATTTACCGAGCACCTATCCGGAGCTGGGGCCGGGAGACAGCAGAGAACAGGCCACACGCCACCCTTGCTCTCGGGGAGCTTGCTTCTAAAGCGGGGTGGCGGACAAGCACAGTCATTCCTGCAAAGCAGCAGATGTAACCCCCTGCTGGGGAGCCCCAGAAGTAGAGCGCATGAGGCTCATGCTGTGAAGGTGAGGGAGCGAGCTGTGTAGATGCTGGGAACCGCACCCTTGGCAGGGGGAGCTGGGAGAACAAAGGCCTTGGTGCCTTTGAAAACAGGAGACCAAGGGGTCTGGATGCAGGGGGAGGGCTGCAAGGTGATTGGTCAGGGAAGGGCCTGGGCTTGAGTAAGAGTGGGGAGTTGCTGGGAGATGTGGGGAGGGGGTGGCACACACTGGCTTAGTGGTGAGGAGTCACCTTGCCCTCCAGGCAAGAATTGGCCGCGGTGGCCAAGAGCAGCAGCAGGGAGCAGGGCTGGGCTGTGGGGTCATCCTGGTGGGAGATGGATGATGGCGCCTGGAACCTTGAAGGTGTCCTGCGGTGAGAAGTGGTGCCTCTGGGTAGGGGTGGATGGCGAAGTGGCCAGGGCTTGCAGAAGGATGTGGGGAGAGGGCGTGTACATGGGTGCAGAATCAGTGGTGACGCTAGGGCTTTGGCCTGAGCCGGGGGAGGAGGTGGTGGTCATTTACGGAGATGGGGACTTGTCAGGGTGACACAGGGTGGGGACAGAGGAGGGCTTCGCTTCTGAGTTGGTTGAGTTTGAGATGCCTCTTTGGCATCTTAGCTAAATGGCAAGTGGGCATTTCGGTGTTTGAGCCTGGAGTTCAGGAAAACTGGCAAGTCGGGGGGAAAAGGTGGGATTTGTCAGTGTACAAATTGTTGTTCAGATGAGCTGAGGACTGGAAGCCTCCCTGGTGGCGCAGGGGTTAAAGGCACAGCTCTATCAAGCTATCACCAGCCTCTGTAGCATGAGCTCGATCCCCGGCAAGGAGCTACCCACATGGCATGGCAGACCTCTCCTGTCTCGCCCGCTGCTCCCCTCACAGTGTACTTCTGTCAGTCTGCCTGTTCTGCTCCCCACTCTGTCTCTGGTGAATCCTCTCACTCCCCACACCTCTGGCCTTTACCCCAGTGCTTGTGTGCATAAATAAATAAATCTTAAAAAAAATAAAAAGATGAGCTGAGGTCACCAAGGGGTGAAGGCAGAGGAGGGGGTGCAGGGAGTGGCCCCAAGGTCAGAGGGAAGCCAGCGACAGTGGCTTCTGGAGACCCACAAGTAATAGCAGACCCCAGCACTGCGGGAGCACCCCCACCCTACAGGTGCTCACAGTCCATCAAGGTGAACACTGGGCAGTGGGGTTTAGCCACAGGAGCTCATGGTGACCTTGACTCAGGCAGTTAGGGGCAGGTGAAGTAGGGCCTACTCAGCATGGCTCCACGGGAGTGGATGAGAGGGCTGTAGAGATGTGGACACAGCGAGAGCTTGGTGGTAGAGGTGCGCTGCAGAGTGTGTTTTTATTTTAAGACAGAAGAAACAAGAGTACTTAGTGTGCTGATGGAAGCCTGCCAGCAGAGCGGAGGAGATCGTCGCCCAGCTCCTGTTGGGAGGGTTCTCGGAGATAGAGTCAGGCCGCCCCGGGCAGGGGGTGCATGTCCTCAGCGGATGGAAGCAAGGCTGTCCCCTGAGAGAGGATGGAGAATGTCGGAGCCCTAGACAGGATGGGAAGGCCCAGCCTGGGAGCAGGGGAAGGAGGGTGGTCTGCTAGGTGGCCCGTGTCGGGGAGGGTGAATCTAAAGTGTTATCTGTCATCCTGGGTGCCTGCTCTTGACCGGCTACCCCCGCAAGCCTCAGCTGGTGGAGAGCTGCTGGCAGACAGTTTGAAAGTGAATGATGGAGGGCGTAGAGGGTAGTGTGAAGAGATGACTTTAGTGATGGCAAAAAGGAGCCAGGACAGGAGGGCCGGGGGGCAGGGAGGTGGAGGGGGTGGGGGTTCGAACCTGGTGCTTTTGGCTGTTCAGGATGGAGCAAGGAAGATGCTGGACGTGTGGAAGGTGGGAGGGTGTGAGCAGACACTGCAAATGGGTCTTGTTATAAGGACAAGGTCTTGGGTGTGACCCCAGAGAGGTGGTTCCCAAGGTCAAGGAATGGACAGCCAGGATGCTGGCCAGGTGGACAGCGTGGCTGGTGCAGTCACTGAATTCTAACAGGCATGGTGCTGGAGGTCAGGCTGCAGGGTCCAGAGCTCAGCTTCTCAAGGGGTGCGGGGTCTGGGGGCGGGGTGTCACGAGGAGGGCTTGGGGGGGCAGGTGTAGCTCAAGGGCATGAGCTGTAAGACTAGAGTATTGTAGAGAGGAGGAGGGAGGGATGGATGGGCCCTTGAGAAGCAACTTACATCCTTTCTGTCCAGACCCAGGAGATGATGACTTAGGGGAAGACAGCCCCTTGGAGAGGGTGACGGGGGGAGGGGGGGGGCGTGACCTTTGTGGAGGACAAGGGTCACCTACAGCAGGACTCCTGTCATCGTCTGGGGCCAGCCACTCAGGCTGGCACAGCAGAGAAGTAATGTCAGGTGCCCGGTGCCTCCCTCCATCCTCACGGTGGCCATTCTTTTAAAATCTAATCCCCTCCTGACTCTGTAAGGTGACATTGCTGCCCTTGGCCCACATGGGAGGCTGAGACTCAGACCAGGGACCACCTTGTGGGCGGGCGCCGATGCCCTCACCCCCCAATGTCTTTCTCGGATTCTGAGGCCGGCCTGCTCCCTTGGGTAGTGCAGGGACCTGTGGGTCCCCAGAGCAGGTGGGGAGTGCCCCACCCCCTTCCAGAGCTGTGCTGTGCTCCAGGGGTTCCAGTGGAACCCCCAAAGGCCCAGGTGGCATGATTCCTTTATAAAGCGAGTTTTCTTGACTCATGAACCACAGACTTGCAGGAGATCCTTAGGCGAGCTTTGGGCGGGGAGAATTGAAACTCTGAGCTGGAAGGATTGATGCTGTGAGTCAGACTCTGCGCACTTTCTGGGGAGAGAGTCTGAAGGAGGGGTCTGTGAACCCCAGGAAGCTGAAGAATTTAGAAGCCCTAAATCACCTTTGGGGCGCTTTTTTTGCTCTCCAGAGAGATGCCCCTCACCCCTGCTGAACCCCAGTTTCCTCCTCCTATCCGTGGGGTGAGTGGGAGGAAGAACTGACCTGGCCTCCCAGCCAGCCGATAGTTCAGTGACAGCTCTCGACCTTTGTCTCGCAGGTTTCCAAGCCTTGGGTGCCCGCAAGTCCTGGCCCTGCTTCAAAGAATGGAGACTCATCCAGTCCAGGCCTTCCCACTAGAGCCTCAGGCCCAGCCCCTGGGTCTCCTTGTCCCCACTCACCAGAGAAGACTACCCTCCACCAATCTCAGCTTCCGGAAGCCCAGAGTCCAGCTGCTTCTGGGGCTTCTCCCTGCCTCCCTACGACTCCAGACTCTCCAGCTGCTACCCTGCCTGAAGAGGGCTCCTGCCACCCCCCTAGCCCAGAGCCCTTTGCTGCGGGAGCCCCGGAGGCCTCCGGCCCCGGCAGCCCTCCCCTTGTCAAGGTCTCTGAGCGCCACAGCCCAGAACTGCTCCTGACCGCCTCACCCCGGCCCCTGTTGGAGGCGGACGAGTTGCTGGATCTGCAGCGGACGTTTCCCTCTGGCGAGGAGGCTCCCCCGGCTCACCTCCGGCCCACCAGCCTGGCCCAGCGCCGATTTTCTGAAGGCGTGCTCCGGCCTCCACCCCAAGACCAGGAGAAGCTGGGGGGCTCTCTGGTTGCCCTATCCGAAGCCCAGGGGAGCCAGTCGGCCCTGGATCGTCCCTTTGGGAGCGGGACAGAGTCCAACTGGAGCTTGTCACAGTCCTTTGAATGGACCTTCCCGACTCGGCCTACGGGTCTTGGGGTATGGCGGCTGGACTCCCCGCCCCCCTCTCCCATCACCGAAGCCACTGAAGCTGCTGAGGCTGCTGAGGCTGGTGACTGGCCTCCATCCAGCAGAGAGGAAGGAGAGTCCCAGCAGGGGCAGAGCGCCCGGTCAGCTCCGGAGGTGCCAGGAAGACCGGGTTCCTGGGTACAGGCTGATGATCTGGGCATCTCCTCAAGCCCAAAGGGTTACAGGGAGAGTCAGCTGCAGGCCCCAGCTGTTCCCCCTGAGCCCCTACCAACAACAGGGAGCCCTCCTGGATCCACCTTGCTGCAAGCCGAGGAGAGGTACGAGGAGGGGCAGCCCCTGGCCAGACAGGAGTCTCTGCTCCCTCTGGCCACTGGGGAGGCTGCTCTGCCCGTCCTGGAGCCCATCCTGGGGCAGCAGCAGCCAGCACCCTTTGACCAGCCCTGCGTCCTCTTTGCCAACACCGCCGACCCCGGGCAAGCATCACCTGCCGAGGAGGAGGCTGTGACCCTGACTCAGGCTGAGACCACCCAAGCCAGGACAGAGGCTCAAGACCCCCTTAGGGTGTCCCCGGAGCCTGTAGGCCCTGAGAGCAGCTCCCGCTGGCTGGATGACCTCCTGGCTTCACCCCCACCTAGTGCTGGCAGTGCCAGGCGAGGAGCTGGATCTGAACTGACTGATGCGCAGACCCCGAGTGCCTGCCCCGAGGTGAGGACAGGCCACAGGGAGGTGGGAACAGGGAGGCTTCCTATCCAGGAGCTTGGATACAGCCGTGCATTGCTCTGTGGACCTGGCCCTCAGAGCTGCAATCTGGCAAAGCTGGCGGAGCGAGGGGCAGGGCCCGGTACTCGGGGTCTGGAGTGAGTTCATCTCTGACTCCAGCGTTCGCTAGCGGAGTGGTCTTGGCACGTGCCAGAACCTCTAGGCCTCGAGTCCTTTCGAAACAGTAACACTTGCTGCTGGCCCACGCCCTGTGGGCACAGTGAGATGGGGAAGGCCTGGGGAATGCTGGATTTGGACAGGCATTCAGGCCCCTCCCGAGAGGAGCGCTGTGAAAGGGAGGTCGGCGTGGCCTCTGGAGCGTGGGCTCCAGAACCAGGTCGCCTGGCTTGCCCTGCCTGGCTCTTCTGTTCTTTTGCCCAGGTGTGACCTTGAACATGTTACTTTTCCACCTTGTGCCTCAGTTTCCGCATCTGTAATACAGGCATAACAGTGATGGGTGAAGAGGGAGCGAGTTACGGTTCCTGTAAAGTACCAAGAATAGCTCCTGGCTTGTCACGGGTGCTTAGTCAGAGTTGGTTTTATGGACATTATTATTACCGGCGGGCCGGGCCTTGTAGACCGGCTGCTGGGCCCCGAGGGGCAGAGTCTTGAGCTGGCCTATCCAGTGGTTGGCTGGGCCCCTGCCAGAGCACCGGCTTCCGGCACCCTTTCCCTTCCCGCTGCCTCTGATTTCAGGGCTGGGGTCCAGGTGGCTTTTGAAGTGGATTTTTCAAGCCCGGCCTGGGCTGGTAGGGGCGGGGCTGGGAGGAAGGAGGAGCCTGGGGGCCTCCGGGGAGGAGGGGGAGGGAGAGCAGGAAGGAGTTAAGCCTGAGCTGGCTCCTGCAGTAGGTGTGTCTGTCCCGGGATGTGGGTGACTCAACTGGCTTCTGGGCGGGGCTGCCAGAGCTGCAGCTGCTCTAGAGGGAGTGAGGCCAGGGCCAGCGGGAGCCAGAGCCGTCGGACAGGTCCTGGCGTGGGGAGCGGCCCAGCCTTGTCCCAGCACCCGCCGCGCCCAGCAGCCCGGGGGCAGGCAGGGTGGCAGGGGCCATGGCTGGGCTTGGGGACGGGGAGCCGAACATGTCTGTCCTGGAGAGGCTGCTGGCCAACGCGGCACTGAGAGATGAGGCGGGCAGGCTCCGCAGCCCGGAGCCCAGGGCTCAGCCGGCCACAGGAGTGAGTCAGGGAGTATGGGTGGGGGTGCAGAGACCTGGCTGGGCCTTTCATCTGTGTCAGAGGCTTCCTCCTGTCTCCCCTGGAGACCAGCGCAGGGCTGAACAGCCTTCCTGGGGAGTGCTGAGCCTTCTCTCTTCGGGGGCTTTCCTTAGGGAGGAAGGGGCTTGGAACTCATGGGTACTGGGAGGGTTGGGGGACTGCTGCTGGAATCTGGAAGTGCAGCTTCACTCACAGTGAAACCCCCTCCTCCAGTCACCCTTTCTCCTGGCTGCCAGCCAAGTGTTGCCCAAAGGCCATAGACAAGACCGTGGGATCTTTGAGTGCCTGCCCCTTGCTGAGTGCCCAGTGTGTGCCAGGTGTGCTATGCTGAGTACCTGGTTCAAAGGATCTTGTTTATTTCTCCTAAACCTCCCTACGTGGTAGGAACTATCCCCATTTAAGGATGAGGACCCTGAGGCCCTTAGTGGTTAAGTGATTTGCTCAGGATCACACAGCTGAGATCCCAGCCCAGGTTTTCTGATGCCGAATTGGGGCTCTTGGGCACCAGGCCATGTTGGATCGGCTCCTGTCCTGATTGACTCTGAGCATTGTTTGTCTCTTTTTTATTTCCAACTCCCAGGGACTCCTCGGTTGGGCCCAGAAGGATCTACAGAGTGAATTTGGGATTGCAGCAGACCCCCCTCCCAGCAGCTTCAGCCCAGTGGTTTCAACCCAGCGGTTTCAGCCCAGCTGGTCCCAAGATACCGCTCAGGACTATGGCCTCGGGAGTGCCAGTCCTAGAGGGGACCCGGGCCTTGGAGAGAGGGACTGGTCCCCCAAGTGTGGTCAAGGAGTAGGGGAAGGGGGCACTAGGGAGTGGGCCAGCAGGCGAGGCACTGGCCAGGAGGAGGCGGAGGTCAGCAGCCCAGGTGGGAGTGGAGCTTCTGCCCCAGGGGGCCTGGCAGCCCAGGACCGGGTGATTGGCAAGCCCACCCCACAAAGCCCGGAGGCAGATGTCCAGGCCTGGGAGTTCACGAAGAGGGACCCTCAGGGTTCTTACTCCAGTCGGGACGCGGGGCTTCAGGACCAGGAATTCGGGAAGAAGGATTCACTGGGCTCCTATTCCAGTCGGGACATGGAACTTCAGAACCAGGAATTCGGGAAGAGAGATTCACTGGGCGCTTACTCCAGTCGGGACGCGGAACTCCAGGACCAGGAATTCGGGAAGAAAGATTCACTGGGCTCTTACTCCAGTCGGGACGCGGAACTCCAGGACCAGGAATTCGGGAAGAGAGATTCACTGGGCGCTTATGGGAGCCGGGATGCGGGCCTGCGGAACTGGGAATTTGAGAAGAGAGATTCTCTGGGTGTGTATGGCAGCCGGGACACAGATGAGCAGAGCCAGGAACTGGGGAATAGCGAGCACCTGGGCAGGTACAGCAGCCAGGATGCAGATGAACGGGACCGGGAGTTTGGAGGGAAAGAGTCTGCCCTCCGCACCTATGGCAGCCAGGCTGCAGAGCAGCTGGAGCAGGATTTCGGGAAGAGTGCCTGGATGAGGGACGGCAGTGGTGGCCGCAGCTCCCTGGCTCTTGGCCTGCAGGACAGGGGCTTCGGGTCGAGAACTGTGAGTGCCAGGTTCAGCCCTGAGGATGCTCAGCAGCAGGATGAGGAGTTTGAGAAGAAGCTCCCCAGTGGAGGCAGTCTGGGGGAGGCAGGAAGGGACGGCAGCCAGCCTGAAGAGAGAGAGTTGGGGGGCCTGTTCAGCCCCAACACACCCCATTCGCAGGACGGGGCCCTCGGACAGAGAGACCAGAGCAGCTGGCAAGGCGACGGTGCCAGCCAGGAGGTTGGAGGGCTGCAGGGGAGACCACGAGCAGGGTGCCAGAGCCCAGGCAGGGCTGACCAGGGAGACAGGGAGATGGGGCAGCGAGGCTGGGCCAGCGACTTCAGCCTCAGTGTCGTTCCCCAACCAGAGATGACCTTCAGTCCAGGGCAGCAAGGCTGGAGTGGCGACTTCTGCATGGAGACTCCCGAGAGGAGCCATCAGTTTGGCATCATCGGCAATGATCGAGTGAGCGGCGCGGGCCTGAGCCCTCCTGACAAATTGGGAAGCGGTCACTTTGTGTCTCCTGAGAAGACCTCTGCTGGGTCGCTGGATTGGACTGACCAGCTGGGCCTCAGGAACTTGGAAGTGTCCAGCTGTGCAGGTTCTGGGACCTCAAGTGAGGCCAGGGAGGATGCCTTGGGCCAGAGGGGCTGGTCAGACAAGCTGAGCTCGAGAGACCTGGGCCTGGCCAGCCGTTTGGAGACTGGAAGGCCTGAGGAGCCCAGGGGTGTTGCAGTTGGGGAGAAGGACTGGACTTCAGATGTCGGGGTGAGGAGCAGAGAGCTAGCTGGGGTTGGGGAGGTAGGTGGCCACAGCCAGGCCAGAGAGAGTGGTGTGGGGCAGACCGACTGGTCTGGTGTGGAGTCTGGAGAGTCCCTTCAATCCAGGGAACGTGGAGTGGGGCAAGCAGACTGGACACCCGACTTTGGGCTGAGAAACGTGGCGGCTGGCTGTAGCTCTCGGGAGCTTGGGGTGGGCCAGGTGGACTGGGGCAACAATCTGGGCCTGAGGAATTTGGAGGTGCCGTGTGACCTGGAACCTGAAGCTTCTCGGGAACCTCGGGGATGTGGAGTGGGGCAGATGGATTGGACTCAGGACTTGGAGCTTCGGAGCACGGAGCTCTCTGGGGCCCTAAGTGAGGCCAGGGAGCGTGGGGTGGGAGAGGTCAGCCAGCGCCCAGAGCTAGGCCTCAGGAACCATAGCTCGTCCCCTGGCCTGGAGGCTGGAGACCATTTGGAGGCCAGGGAGCTGGGGGTCGGCAAGACGAGTGGGCCAGAGACCCAGGGCGAGGATGAGGACTCCTCACCTTCCTTGGAGACCCGCCCTGGAGACCCAGGCATGGAGACAGGAGAAGCACCCAGCTTTGGAGCCAGGTAAGGGAGCTGTGTCCAGTGTGGGAACAGTCACAGCCTTTCTGAGGGGGAAGTAAGAGCTTTTCCCAAGGACTTCTAGCATTTGGAAAATTGAGATGGTCTCAACTGCACATTTTTAAGTTGACTTGTTTAGATAGAAACATAACACAGGCGAAGTCTTTTTGAAGGGTGATGGCGAGGCTTGGGTTGCTTTTGCACTCCATGCTCTTGGCTTCTTGGGCATTCTGTGTCGTGACTGTGCTGCAGGACAGGATGCGTGTCATGTTTTTGGATGGTTCTGGTGGGTTCCTCCATGGTGCTCTGTGGCTCGTCCCAGGCCTCTTGGCCTCAAAGCCAAGGTGCTCCTGGGCCAGGAACATGAAGCTTTCACAGGTGAGGGAGGGAGGACTCTGTCCTCTTGGTCTGAGTGGGGGTGGCCAGTTTCTCCTAGAGGCTGGGAAAGGTTTGTCTCTTGCCTGCCCTGTCTTAACTCCCAGAAGAGCAACTGTTCAGGAACCTGAAGGGCGTTGGCACCTGACCTCCACCAAATTGCCCAGAGAGGTTTCCAAAGGGAAGAACTGGTGGTTTTATGAGGCACCCACCGAATGGCTCAGGGATTTTTATGTTCTAAAACCAACTGAGGTGATTTCACACCTGGAAAGGGTGCTAAAAAGGCATCGGGTCTCTTGTATTAACATTTCCACCCATTTGGTTTGATTCTCTTGACTGAGGAGAGAGTTTGGCCTCTTCCAGCCCTGGAGCTTCTCCCAGGTCATGTGGGCAAGGAGAAGCGGTGTTGGTGGGACCGTGTTGTAAAGGGAAGGGCTGGTGATCGGGGGCGGGGAGAGCAGAGGGAACAGGAAGGATAGAGAATTGGAGGTGTTGGTGGGGTTTTGCAGGATCGAGGGATGTCAGAGGGGTCAGGTGGAGAGAGAGACAGGAAGGTGGGCAGCGTGTGGGGTGTTACCAGGATGGTTCCCAGGGTGGAAGGTGTCCTGGCAGGGTCTCAGCTCTGAGTAGGTGGCGTGGGGTGGGGGGCTGGAGACTGCAGGCAGTGGGTGAGTAGGGTCCGCGGCCTGAGCCCTCGTATCTCTGGGCCTCACTTTCTCACTTTGCTAGTGCAGGGACAACACCGGCTCCCTGTGTTGCTGGTGATTTCTCTTCCCGGGTCAGCCCCCGATGCCGGGCACATCTCACCTCCTTGATCTTCACAGCTGCCCTGAGAAGCAGGAAGGGGATTTTATCAGCTCCAGTTTGCAGGTGGAGAGAAGGTGTGACTGCTTGGGTCACAGAGTTAGCAGGGCCTCTCCCCGCTGCGTTCATCTTAAAAGCTCTCAGGTGTGGCCACTGAGTTAGGTCTCCTAAGGGTTGGGACCCACAGCCCTGCACCTGGGGCCTCCCTCTGAGTAGGGTGGCTCTTGAGTCTCCAGTCCCCTACTCAGGAATGTCTTCCTCTTTGCTTTGGATGGAGGGAGAGGCTTCCCTGGGGCAGGGCATTATGAGGTGACTGGGTGAGGGGAAGTGCAATGGCCGAAGAGAAGTGGGGAGTCCGCAGCTGCGTTTCGGGCTCCCTGCACCTTTCTTGAAAACGATGGGCAAATCAAATTTGAGAAACAAAACAAACTCCATGCAGGTATTTCTGGCTGTGCTGTAAGTTTGGAGGAAGCTGTGTTCTCAGCATCCATTAGCACCATAGCTCAGGAATAGGAAGGGTGTTTACCTTTCATAAAGGCAGTGATTCCCACTTATTTGGTATCTAGGGATCCAATGGTCCTTGCTTCTGACTTAGGGAAATTCTACACCTTGGAAAGCATGTCTTTGAAGGAAACTGTGAAAGTCCTTGAGGACAGCAGGAGTCTGTGCCAGGTTTGGGTCCTGGTTCCGCCAGCACCTCTGTGACCTTGGGCCTGTTGCTTTTCTCTCCTGATTCCTAGTCCTTATTCCCAGTTCTCAGAGTTGTCGTGAGGGTTAAGAGTAAGTATGTGGTAAGTGATGGAAACCTGCCCGGTACATGGAAATTGCTGGAAAAAGCGCTCATGGCCCATATTTGTATTTGTTTTGCAAATTTGGATGGATGTGAACTGTCCGTAGAGTGAGGCCCTTGGGGACACAGGCACCCTGATGGCAATTGTGTCTGGACAGCTGTGACCAGGCCAGATGGGGGTGGGTGGAGCGTGGGAGAATGTGGGAGAAAGTGGGGAGAACCCAAGCCCCTCCCCTGTGTCTGGGGCCACCACCTCCTGGTCGTAGTGGTGCTGCTGGGTCCCCTGAAGGCTCCTGTCACTGGCTTAGTCATCTCTTGCCCCTCCCCCTTGGCCCCAGGGATGCGGGCACCTCCAGCTCACTTTTGGGCCTTTGCAAAATCTGGGAGGGCCTCAGGGATCAGCGAGAACACTCACCTTATGGGTGGGGAAACTGAGGTCCAGAGAGGCATTGTTCCTTGTGCAAAGGTCACAGCTTGTTACTTAGGGCCCTTGCTGTTCCTGTGCCAGCCTTGTGGTCATCTCTGGGTGCCTTCCTTCTCTCTGGAGTCATGGCCAGGGCTCCCTCATTCCAGACTTGAGCCCGGGGAGGCTGAGCTTCTGCAGCTCTGTTCCTTGCCCATCAGCATTTGCCCTGGGGTGGTGGTGGTGGTGGTGGTGGGGGTTTGTATCCAATCCCGGAGGACACTCAGAAGGCCACGAGAGGCGAGGGGCAGAGATGGTCTCGATCAATACAGGGGACTGTGTTTATGATGCTGACTCAAAACACTTACCATGTGCCAACTCTGCCCTGGGCCGTCTGCCCAGCGTTTCACATCCCCTTAGCCCTCATATCCCCTTAGCCCACATGCCCTCAGCCTTCTTCCTGACTCACCCCAGGGAAAGGCTTTGGGCAGGGCTTCTCAGGCTGGGGTGCTGTTGCCACCCCCTGCCCTGTCTTCCTGATTTTAGGCAGGGCGAGCTGGCTCTGGCCCCATCCAGGGCTGCTCTCCATTCTCCTGCTTTGCGGCACTTATGCTGCCTCCGCCCCCGCCCTCCCCCTCCCCAGACGCTTTAATTTCCTTCTGTCAGCAGCTTGTGGAAGGACTGACTGACACATGTTCTTTCCTGCCCTTCCCCCTTCTGGCCTGGTCCTGACTCACCTGCTCCACTCTCCTCCAGTCCTGCCGGGAACTTGGCGGCCTGGCTTCCGGGCACTGGCCTGCCAGTCTTTCCCATGCCAGTGTGCACTGTGTCTGCTGTGCCATGGGGGCAGTGGGTACTAGGTGTGTCTCAGGGAGCAGCTGGCTTTGCTGTACCCCCTGCTTGCCGTGTGCTCTGGGTATTGCAGGGTGTGTCTGGTATCTGTGTACTTCCGGGCTGGGAGCCGGACAACACTTGCTCCTTGTGCGGGGGGTGCATTTGCCTGTGTGGGGTGTTCGTACCATGCTTTTGTGGGCATGGCAGATGCCAGAGCTGCACTGGGGTGCAAGGTGACCCAGCCTCTCATTCATTCTGCAAACATTGGCTGCGTTCTGCTCCTCCCAGGCACTGGGCCAGGTGCTGGGGGCACCGAGGGAACAGGGGCCCTGCCTGTCTGCCCTTGCGGACCTCACAGACGGACACAGCGGCGCAGACTGTCGGGGCGGTGGCTGGCAGGGCGGGGCGCACTGGCGGGTGGCTGCAGGAAAGGAGATGTGTGGGGGTGTGTTCCCCGGCCAAGGAACAGCTTCTCCAGATGCACAGCGTGTGTGCGGGGCCTGTGTGCACGGGAGTCCCTGCCTGTTCTGGGAGGCTGAGACACAGGGTTGGGGGGGTGTGGGGGGTGGGCAAAGAGGTTGCTAGGCAGATGGGCCCATCTCCCCGGGGCTTTCCTCAGCTGCAGGGAGCCCTGAGCTGTCTCACTACCTGGTTCATCCCAAGGAGAATGGCCCAAGCAGGTGTCCTGAGACACACATTAACATCAGTAACAGCAGCGGCTGCAGTAACAGTAGCTGTTACTTACAGGGCACGTGCTGACTGCCAGGCACTGCGCTGTCCGCTTTACATTCTCATTTAACCCTCGCAGTGGCCCGTGACGGTGGAGGAGCCTGAGGCCTTTACAGGGGAAGGGAATCATCCCAGGGTCAGCGAGTGGGGGCTGGCGTTTGAGCCAGACCATGACCTCTGCAGGCCATGCATGTTTGTCAAAGCCACGACCGTGTCCTTCCTGAAGGAGTCGGGGAAATGGTGGGAAGGAGGAGGAAGGGGAAAGAGACCTGGGGAGTGGGCTTCGTGGGAGGGGGTGTGTGGCCTCAGAGGTGACCTTGTCCTCTGTTCCGTCTCCTTTGCAGCCCCGGTGGGTGCTCCACCCGCTCCCCACCCTCCGGCTCCCACGCCCTGCTGGAGGAGATACTGGCCACTAGCAGTTCCAAGGCGGCGGCCCGCAGGGAGTCTGCAGCCTCGGGCCTCAGGGGCCTGTTGGAAGAGGCAGGAGCCACAGCAGGTGCTGATCGAGGGGAGCCCGGGGAGCCTGGCAGGGACCCTCTGCCCTCCTGGAGGCCCCAGCCTGATGGCGAAGCCAGCCGGACAGAAGAGGTGGACGGCACCTGGGGTGCTGCCGAGGCCGGGCGGGGTGAGCAGGCCCCCACACGGCCCCCTCGGCGGCCCCCCCAAGGCCCTCTCCCCAGCGCCCCCAGTCAGGACTTCTTTTTCATTGAGGTCAGTGGCGTGGGTGAAGGACTTCTTCCTCGCGGTCGCCCAGGGCAGTGGGTGGGCTCTTGTGCCAGTGGGGGCTACGGGAGACAGAACCTGGAACCTGGTGTCTGGGGTGTCCCTCGGCTGTGGGGCGCCCTGAGCTGTGTCAGTCTGGGAGGTGGAGAGCGGGCAAGTCTTGCGACTTGGAGGCCGAGGGCTGCCAAGGAGCGGCTCGGCGGGATGGGCAGGACCACGGGACAGCAACGGCAGTGGTGTTGCTGTTGTCTTGAGCAGGACACCGAGATCCTTGACAGTGCCATGTACCGGAGCCGTGCCAGCCTGGGGCGCAAGCGTGGACACCGGGCCCCCGCCATCCGGCCCGGGGGAACCCTGGGCCTGTCCCAGGCTGCGGACTCGGACGCACGCCTGTTCCGGGACTGTACAGGTAGCGTGCGGTTCCGTGAGGGCGTGCGGCTGCCTGGCCTTGTGCAGGGGTGGGGCCGGGGGCCGGGGGGGCCGGGGGGCTGGACTGCCTTGGCTGAGTCCCTGTCTGGGCCCTCACAGAGCCGCGGGCTGCTCGGGTACCTTCTTCCGATGAGGAGGTCGTGGAGGAGCCTCAGAACCGCCGGACAAAGATGTCCCTGGGCTCCAAGGGCCTGAAAGTCAACCTTTTTCCGGGCCTGAGCCCGTCAGCCCTGAAGGTACCGCTGGCCAGCTGGCCCCTTGCATGGCCCGGCCTCCTCTCCACCATCTCCGCCACCGTCCCCGTCTGCTCTGCAGTGAGAGCGGAAAAGCCCTCGTGTTCCGCGGGGCCAGGGCTGTGTCTCAGGGGCTGGGAGGAAGCGAGGCACTCTCGAGTCCAGAACCTCGCGGGCAGTGATGGACACCGTGATTGGCTCCGGTGGATAGAGGTTTAGGTGCCACTGGGGAGCCAGAGACGCGCCTTCACCAGCTCGAGGAGAGAGGCGCTGCGTCCTGACAGTGGGGGACACAGCTGGGCGTGGCTCTTAGCAGACGGCTGAGGAGGGCCGGGTGGTTGGTGGGGAGGCATTCCAGGCAGAGGGCACAGAATGAGCAAAGGCACCGGGCTGGGAGTCACGACGGCCTTGGTCCAGTCCATCAGTCTGCACTCACCTGCGCAGTGTCTTTGTGGGGGCTCCGCTCTTGGGGGAAGCTCAAGGACTGCCCATTCATCCGGTGGAGGGGCTTCGGGGGGGGGGTCTGTGGCTGCTCCGGGGGGAAGGCCTGGAATGAATCCCCCTGCCCATCCCCCCCAACTTTTACTGCACCTGGACTTGTCTCTCAGGCCAAGCTTCGCCCCCGCAACCGCTCAGCTGAGGAGGGGGAGCAGGTGGAGAGCAAGTCCAGCCAGAAGGAGACCACGGTCCAGCGCTCCAAGTCCTGCAAGGTGCCGGGGCTGGGGAAGCCCCTGGCGTTACCTCCTAAACCAGACAAGTCCTCAGGGTAGGTGACCACGCTGGGGACCTCACTGTGCTGACCTGAAAGGGGAAGACCCGCTTGGCGGAGAGGAACACGGGCCCCGGCTGGTGTTCGTCGGGCCCGAAGTGAGCTGGTTCTCTGCAGCCAGGCCCAGCTGCCTCTTCTGGTTGGAGGCATTTCTGTCCCCTACACTCGTCCACATTTTGTTTGGCTTTTCTGAGTTTGCCTTGCCCTCTGCCTTGTAGGTCAGAAGGATCATCACCCAACTGGCTGCAAGCCCTGAAGCTGAAGAAGAAGAAGGTCTGAGAAATCACTGAGGTGAGGGTGGGTGCCTGGCTCTGGCCTCTGGGGTGAGCGTGGGGCTAAGGGTGACGAGGCTGTGCTCTGGAGGACTCGGGGGCCCTCCTCTTCTTGCCCTTAGTGCCCATGCTCCTGTGGGCGGCTGGGAGCAGGCAGGTGAGACCAAGCTCCCGGACTCGGTGGGTCTCGGCTTCCCTGAGTTGGTCGCAGAGGAGGGTGTTGTCTGGCCGGGGACAGTGCAGAAGGCCTCCGTTCTTGTCCTCCTCCCTGGGCTCAGGGACAGCCCCTGTGCCCTGAGCGTGGTCAGCCAACCCCTCTCATCTCCCCAGGAGCTATCTCCTCTCCTCCTCCATGGTCTCTGCTCCTGACTGCTGCTCTTCCCTCCCCTCCGCAGGTCCTTCCATCTGGAAGTCTCAGGCAGTGCCCGCTCCTGTGGGGTCCCCAGTGAGGAGACAGCTGGGGGCCCACACACCCCAGGCCGCAGCCTCTGTCCCCCAGCGCCTCTGAGGAACATCCTGGGAGGCACATTTATGCACTTTGTATCACCTCCCCACCCCCCCACCCCGACGCCCTCCCTCCCAATCTGGATTCAGTCATTAGTGGTCGAAGGTTTCGGTCCCCTCTCGTCCTATTTCTGCCTCCCTCTCTGCTTCCTCCTCCAGCCTCCCTTGGGTTGTTTTTCTTTTGATACCAATTTATAGCATTTTTTATAAAAGCCTTTGATTTTTGTAACGGGCGGAGCCCTGCCCGACCCCATCCCAGGTCTCCCTCGCCCTTCCAGGTGCCCCACAGAGACCAATGACATTTTGCCACTTGAAACAATAAAGTTTTTTGGGAATTGGTGCTGCCCAGGCTGTGGTGTGTGGTTGTGACACCTCGTTCCCCGCCCGAGGCTGCCGTTGGGTGCCAGTTTCAGCCCTGGGCCCCCGGCAGCTCACCCTGACACTGGGCACGTCATTTCTCAATGGGCAGGAGAGGCTGTGCTGGTTGGAACAGGCTGGTGTCCGATTCAGCAACCCCTACATTCCAGGCACTGAATGCACAAAGGTTGGTTTTTCGTTTGTGGCACAATCCAGCCTGGGCTTTGCACCCCACAGTCGCTCAGAACCCAGGCTGCCTCCCTATTGAGGCGCAACCATCTTCAGGAGCCTCCATGTCCTCTGCACCTCCAGTGAAGCAAGGGAAGGATCCTGGGGGAGACCGCCCTTCCGCCCACGAGAACGCCATGCCTGACCCTGCCCTGGAGGGGAGACTGGAATGTAGTTTGGCCAAGTGGCTAGAGAAAGAGGAGCCAAGAGTGGTTGGTTTCTGTGATCTCTACGGGTTCCCATGCTTCTGGAGTGTTCCAGACTCTGGCCTTCTCACCCAGCCCACATCCACTGGCACCCCACTGCCCCGCAGGCTCGATCTGTGCCTGCCTGTCTCCCAGACTAGCCAGCCTCTGTTAGGGCCACGTTGTCCTTCCTTGGAGCCTGGTGAGAGGAGAGGCTGATGGCGCCCAGCCTTGGGGTGGGGGGGGGGGTCCTCAGCACTCCCTGAGGAAGCTGCTCAGGACTGCAGCTGAGCTTGAAATCATCCCATTCCCCTTCCCAGGGCTGCTTAGTCTTCTTGGGGCTTTGGGTGGCTTGGGGCTGTCATCCTAATATGAGAATTTGTCCAGAGCTCTGGGCCCTCTAGGAAAATGCTCCATGTCTGGCTTTACAGGCCGGCCTGGGGTTCCCATCTTAGATGTTGTGGGCCCTCCCTGGGATACCTGTCTGTTCACTGGGCCCAGGAATCTGCATTTGGGGGAGCCCCCTAAGTGCAGGGGCAGGCGGCAAAGGAAAGGGTTCTCAAGTAGGTGCCTGGCCATGCCCCTGGGTGGGTGTCAGCCCCCGGAGAGCCTGGCCCGGCCGAGCTGGCCTGGGCTTTGTTCTGAGCTTTGTCCCGTGCTCACCACCCCTCCCCGTAGCAGTAGAACTGGCAGGAGCCCAAGCCAAACACTTAGGGCTCATTAGTGGGACAGATGGAGCCGGTGGGTCCCAGCGCCTGGGCTCGCCTGGGACAGGAGGCGGAAGGCAGCAGGGCCAGATCTGGGGCGTGGGTGGGGTGTCCCACTTGCTCCCTGTGGGGAGCGGGAGAAAGGAGCCAACACATACATGCTTTGGCCATAAAGGCAGGTGTCTGACAAAGAGCACTGCTGAGAAAGTCCTTGTCAGGTTCTTCCTGGACTGCCTGGGGCTCTAGGAGTGGCCGCGAGGGCCAGGTGTGACCTCTGGATGTGGCATTTGGATGTTGGGAACAGCCGAAAGCCTTCCCGTATTAGGGAATGCACTGGGCAGCCGAACGGGACGGACTGTTTTGGTCCCAGTTGCTCCCAAGGCAGTTTCCGAAGAGCTGAATGAGCCCTGGAGAGTGTTTGGGACGTGTGCTGCCTCTGCCATGGCCACCGGTGCTACATGCTTAGAAGCTGAGCTGTCCCTGCTCAGAGAATCTTGTCCCCATCCCATCACCTCTAGAGTGTCTTCATGTGCTCTTCGCCAAGGGCCTGCCCGCAAGGAGGCTGCCTTTGGGGCTGGAAATAGGTGTGGCACCTGCAGTCCCCACAACCCAGAGCTGGGCGGGCATTTGGGCTGGCGTGGGCCTGGGACCAGCAGGCCTGGCCATGCTGCCCGCAGTACTTGGCTGGCGGTTCTGGGCTGGTGCTCTGAAGTGTCACTGCCACTGGCGGCATTTCCTTCCTGCAGCATCCCGTCCTCCGGATGGGGTCCAGCCGTCTGCACTGGTCACGGCCCATCCCGAGAGGTTCCAGACAGCCCGTTCTGGTGTGGCGGTGAGCAGATTGGAATTTAGATTCTGCTCCTGACCTCCAGGGGCCCTCTGAGCCTCTGCTTTAAAAAGGCGGCGTCGCAGAACATTCTCTTTACTGAACCGCTTGAAGTCTAGATGGTGAAGGACCATACTTGAGACAAAGCAGGTGGCTCTGGCTGCTCTTGTCTTTGTTTTGTTTGGTGGGAACAGAGGACCTTTTTCCCTTTCTCCTATTTCCTCTGATGCTTGGTGTGGAAGCCGGTGGACTGGATTTTCTGGGAGCTGATTTGCCTTTAGGGCCTCTTAGCCAGACTCACCTGAGACAAGCCCTTTGGCTGCTGTAGCAGTTGCCCTGGCTCCCACCCCTCCCCTGCCAGCAAATGCAGATTGCAGAGGAAGAGAGCTGGCAGGTCTCCGCAGCGCACCGCCCTGCCCGGGGAGAGTGCCAGGCCCTGGTGGCTAGAGCCTCCTGGGCGCTGCATGATAAAGTGGGTTTTAATCGCTGCCCAAGGAACGACTCTAATTATACTTTTATTTATATAGCGCTGTGTCTCCAAAGAGCCAAACATCCATTCATTCATTTTTTTTAAAAACAAAGTTGATTGAATTTTTTTCTGATGACAAAAGCAAAGCACACTCTGTTGTAGCCACTTAGAGAATAAGAGGCGGTCAGATGAAAACATTGGTCGTCACCACACCGCCCAAGGGTACGGCTAACATCTTTTAAAAGATTACCTTTTATTTCAGGACAGAGTTAGATTTACAAAACAGTTGCAAAATAGTACGAGAGTTCCCCTAAACCCACACCCAGTTTCCTCAATGTTTTAAGTTCACATGGTTAATATCTTACATTGTATGGGACTCATAGCTGATTGATTACATTGTTATTAACTCAAGTCCATACTTTATGCCTTTTCCTTAATTTCCCTGCTGTCCCCTTCTGGCCCAGGCTGCCATCCAGGACATCACGTCACATTTAGTCATCATGTTTATCTAGGACGACCTTGACGGTTTTGAGTAGCACTGGTCTGATAGTTTGTAGAAGGTCCTTCCATCTGAGTTATCAGGATATTTTTCTCAAGCTTAGATGGGGATGATAGGTTTTGGGGAGGTAGATGAAGGTGACTTCTTATGTGATCATGTCACTATCAACACAACATGTCAATTCTAACCTTGACCAGCTGGCTGAGGGGTGCTTGTCAGGTTTCTCCCGTGTAAAGTCACTCTCCTTCCCCCTTTCTAACTAACAGAAGCCTCTAACTCTGAAATTTCCATATATTTGCTTCTAGTCTCCACCTTTCCAACCCTTAACCCCCAAATGAAAGCAAACTCCTGAAGTGCACTTGTTAATTTCCGACATCCACCCATTGTGCCAGGAGCTGGGAGCCGGGTTCTAACTTGACACTGTGTCTTCATTTCTGGAATTCTTAGTATGCATTGCATTTCAAATGGGTCCAGTCCTCGCTTTCATCAATCAAAGCAAAAGGATGGTGCACTTGGTGCCTTGCACGGGGCTCAGTGCTCCCGGGCCACCGGTCCCCGAGGACCGTGATGGAGATGATGCTCCCGCCTTCGTGTTGTGGGTGAGAAACTGCGGTTTGTAGCAGTGAAGGAAGGTACACAGCCCGCAAGTGGTAGTGCTGGAATCCAAGCCTTGGTCTGCAGTCCTGAGCAGAGCACGAAACATGTTGAACTGGACAGGCTAAGAGCAATGTGGGATGTGGGTACAGGCATGGGTTTGAATCAGGCCTCTTCCACTGAGCTGTGTGGCCTTGGGTAAGCCAATTCTCCATCATCCATCCATCCATCCATCCATCCAGGAAAAACACTGTTTCCCCATCTACAGTGGGTTTTGAACCAGAGTAGGACTTATTTTTTTAAGATTTATTTATGCATACAAGAACTGGGGCACAGGCTAGAGGTGCAGGGGGTGAGAGGATTCACCAGAGAGAGCAGGAAGCAGAACAGGTAGATCTACTGAAAAACACCGCTGAGGGGAGTAGCAGGCGAGACAGGAGAGGTCTCTGCACCATGTGGATTAGCTCCCTGGCCTGGGATCCAAGGGATCCCAGTGCTGCAATGCTGTGGATAGCTTGATAGTGCTGAGACTTAACCCCTTGCACCACCAGGGAGGCCCCAGAGTAGGACTTGTTAACTGTTTTTTTGTGTTGTGGATCCTTTTGGCAGGTTAGTAAAATAAGATATAAAAGATAGCAAAGAAACTACAGAAATATATCCAATTACCAAAAATCAAAGTTTGAGTATCACAAATACTGAAAACCAAATTTGCAACGTAGTAATTAATGCATGTGTTTGTTGACACATTAAACCAGATCTAGCGCTGGGTGCAATCACTGCTACAATGTTGAGAAGGTGATATTAATACACTTTGAGAGTTCCTGCTTGACTCTCATGAGCTATGAAATACCTGTCATTACAATTAGTGACACAATCTTAAATACTGCACTCCTAACACTTGTGTTCATAACAGAAACGGACCCTGAATTCAGTTACAGATTAATGAACTTTTTAAAATTCAATCCAGTTTCACAGATGGCTGAATTCTTAATCTGGACCCCAGATGAAGAACTGAACTGGCGGCTTGGGGGGGATCCCTTCCTGTTTTCACACCTTGTTCTCTGGTCTGAGCCCTAGGGGCTGGGGGTGGGGTTGTGGGAAGGAGGCCTGTGCCCCAAGGATATTGACCCCAGGACAGACAGAGCAAGGGCCTCTGTGGACTCTGTTCCCGGATTCTCTGTTCTGGATGTTTCAGAGAAGCTGGCTGGCAATTCCCCCGTGGCCTTTGCCCCTGCTGGTCAATCACAGTTGCAGCAGAGCAGATCTATTGACCGGTCCTTTGTTTTCCAGAAACAACCCGCCTTCCTCTTGTTAACCCCTGCCAGCCTGGCCCCTGGGTGGCTTCCTTGCTCCAGGCCCAGCTGTGGGGCAAGCTAGACATCACGGGGCTCCATCTCATGGAGGCAGGTCACCCACTGAGGCTCATTGAATCCGTGGGCAGCAGAGGCTCTAGCCTTCAGATCCCAGGCCTATCTGAACCCCAAATGCTGTGGTCTCTCCAGGGGACCTGATACCTCTAGTCTTGCTTCATCACACAGGAGAGTTTGAGGTTTGGGGTGCCTTCCTCCCCAAGACACGCACATATCCAACCCCACTGCCAGTCCACACACATGCATACACCTCAGGTTCACAGGCAAAATAAGACTGGGGACTATCCTTGGGAAGGAGTCACTGACTTAAGCTTTGGGGGTGCTGGGAAGATGGGAAGGGTCTCCCCTCTTCTAAATCTGCTAATTTCCAGCCTGCCTTGTCATCACTGACAACCCCTATCTTTGAGTTAAGCGTTGACCTCCTGGGTTTAAGAATGTATAATCTTCAAGGCAGAGCTGATTCTTCTGACCTTAAAACCTTTCTCAGCTCAGTGCAGGAAACAGGGCAGAGGCCCCGACAGGGAAGCCATGGGCTCTGGGGGCCAGAGAGCCCACTAGGGCTTGGCTGGGACACTCTGCAAACTCCTCCATCCAACTCAGTCCAACATTTCATGGAACCATCTGCTGTTCTTGCTGGGATGTGGAGATGAGTCTGTCTCAGGGCCAGAGTCTGGGTGACA